GTCGCTGAGTCAGTGTAGGCGTGTGTGGCCTTGAGGCTGTGGTTCTGTTATTGTGAAGCACCTGCACTTCTCCATGACATGTATCACACTTAGAATTAGTTGTATAATGTCTGTGTTTCTCATTTGTTTCTCTCCTTTATAGCTACAGTTAGTGCCTTATATATAGCTTGTGATTAATAAATGTATAATCAAAGGTATGGATAAGAGGCCTTGGAACAGAAAGGTGGTCATAGTATAGATGTGCTTCTTTGCTCTACTGCCCTCCACCCCTCTATGTCATCTTTCTCTATTACTTCTCACCACATAAAAATACTTTCTTAGTTGGCCATATCCACTGCTGATGGGAGACGGGCAGGAGGCTCTTTGGAAATTGCAGGGTGGTGTAACAGAGCAGGGGTCTGTAGCGGGGAGGTAGCAATGGGGGCAGAGCGTAATAGACTTTGTGTGGAATATACTTATACTAGCTGTGCTGCTTCTGAGGAGGAAAGATAATAACCATACATACTTTTTTATAGACTTTGAAAACTGTTGGGTGATATTACTTTGTAGAGATGAAGGTGTCATTGTAAATATTTACCTTTCAAGCCTCCTTTTCCTTAATCTGCAAAACCTTCTGAGTATTCTTAGTCAATAACAGAGGGGGTGGTGGGGGAGGGTGATTGATCGATTTCAGGAAGAAAAAATAGCTTATTTTAAGTGACCGAGAAAGCTAGAATTTGAATAATGTGTTTTAAAAATTACAGGGTTGAAGCTATGCAGTAATATATAAAGAGAATGATAGCAGTAATTTTCACAGATGTCACATGAATGAACCAGAAAAATCAATGTAGCACAAAAATTCGGTGACCTGAATGTATTACTTATATTTGTATTTGAAAACTGGGTACAATATAAATGTTTCTATTGAGGCAGTATGATAAGCATTTATCTAATCTTAAATGACAGAATACTTTATTTAAAATTTTAAAGGCTTATATTTGTGAGAATTTTGTTCACAGAAACTGCATACATATTATGGATGTTTTGGCCAACTTTCTAGTTTAAAACTCTTTTTCTTTGGCAGTAGAAACCTTACCTTTGGGTGCTTTGTAAATATCCACTGTTAATAAAATAAGAATATTGTGGAGAAAAGGATTTATATCATATACCGGAAAATTATATCAAGGAAACCCAGGTCACGCAGTCTAGATGGTGGAAAACAGATGTCAAACATAAGTATATTTGGTTGGAAGTAACAGAGTTAGCTTATGCAAAGGAAAAGATTTATTATAAGGATCTGAAGATGTCTCCTGGAACTCAGGGACGTAAAAGCAGCCAGGTTTCAGGAAAGGCTGTCTCTGAAGCCTGCGCAATCATCTCAGAAATAGATGCTGCTAGTCACAAGAGAGCAGGAAAGAGTGTAGATGACTCAGTGTGGCTCCACCAGAGTTTCTAGGAAAACATTCACTCTGACAAGCAAATAAACTGTAAGACCTCTGAATCTGAGTCCAGTCTGAGTCTCCCTACATGCAACACATTAAAAACAAAAGACATTTACTTTTTCATTTCCTCAATTACGCTTCTTTCTTTATTTTTTTCTCTGAAGAACATGTTGCTTAAAATAAAATTTTATTACCAGCACATAGCTTCCTATGGCAAAGACTATCAAATCTTTAATTGCATTTTTTTTTTTCATTTAGACCTATTGTAGTAGGAGTCTAGAAGTCTGTTCACACATTTTAATGAAAGCACCTCACCCTCAGGATTTCTCAAATCTATGTGACCCTAAATAAAGTGAGGAATTGTAATTAAGTGGGAATTTCTGGTTGTATACAGAGCCAAAATAGTTAATTCAAAATAGTAAAGTAAATTTCAATCTAAATTGCTTGATCGATTTACCTTTTCTAAAGTGATCAAGTTTATTTTTACAGACATGGTTTCTAGTGTTTGATGAAATGACTGCTTTCTTGCTTCTACCAAGTTCATACATATTGAATGAAAAGTTATATGCCTCCTTAGGGATTCCTTCAGAATTCTTCCCTCTTAAAGCTGTTTCTTCAGGATTTTTTAGGGAAAGAGCTCTGATCAATTTGTGATTTTCCTTATGAATCAGAAGAATTTGTGAATTACATTTTATTCATTCCTTCAACAAATTTTTTTTGACAGTTCACCCTATTCCAGGTACAGTTTGAGGGATTTAGAATTTATCAGTGAATAAAACAAGAAAGAAATATGGAGGTTACATTCTAATGAGGGAAGACAACTATCAATAATAAACATAATACACTGTAAGTCACATATACTCGAAGGTGGCAAGTGCTATGGAAAGGAAAATAGAGCATGGTAAAGAGGGCTGGGAGTGTGTTGGGGGGAATTATCGGTTTCACTTTAAAATGGAATGGTTCATGTAGAGTTCATCCAGCAGGTGACATTTGGAGCAAAGTCTTGAAGAAGGTGATAAAGTTAGTGCTCCTGAAAGAAGCAGTGTGCAGGCTCAGAGGATAGTAATTGCAAAGGTCCTGGCATGTGCACGGGCAGCAAGGAGGCCAGCATGGCTGGAGTGGAGTGAGCCGGCAGCAGGGCAGTAGTCAGAGAAGGAGGGGGCTTGAAGTCAGTTGCTATGGGCCTCTTAGAATATTGAATCCATGTTCTCTCATAGGTTGAAGTCCTAAACTCTAGAGTGTGACCTTCTTTGGAAATAGGGCCATTGCAGATGTAATAAGATGAGGTCATATTGGAGTAAGTGGGTCATTAATGCAATATGACTAGTGTCCTTATAAAAAGGGGAAATTTGGACCCAGACACACATGTGGGGAGAAAGCCATATGAGGATTAAGTCAAAGACTGGAGTGATGCTTCCACAAGTTAAGGGATGTCAGTGATGGCCAACAAACCACCAGAAGCTAGGAGAGGCCATGGAACAGATGCCCCCTCACAACCCTTAGAAGGGAACAATCCTGCTGACACCTTGATCTTGGTCTTTTGGCCTCTAGAACTGCAAAGGCAATACATTTCTGTTATGTAAGCCACCCAGTTTGTGTGGTTCTTTGTTATGGTGGCCCTAGCAAACTACTCCATAGGAAATTGTAAGGACTTTGGCTTTTACCCTGGGTGAGATGGGAGGTATTGCAGAGTTTTGAGCGAAGGCAGGACATGATCTGATTTCCATTTTAGAAGGATAGTTCTGGATGCTGTGTAGGGATACACTGTCAAGGAGCAAAGGTGCAATACTGAGGTCATATATACAGGCCAGAGGTGATGGTGGTCCTAAACAAAGCAGTAGCAGTGGATGAGTGAGAAGTGGAAATTATTGTGAAGGTAGAGGTGACAGATTTAGCTACTGCCTGCAAGTCTCACAGAACAAGCATCAGAGAAGATTTTCTGATAGACTGGATGTGGAGGACGAGAGAAAGGGAGGTGTCAGGGATGACTGTAAGGTGTTTAAATTGAAATACTTGAAATGCAATGAGTACTTCCCCATTCACCGACATGAGAAAGACTGTAGTCGGAGGGTTTTGTTTGGTTTTAGTGGGAGGAAGTCAGAGTTTCAGTTTTTGGCATGTAAAGTATGAGTTTTCTAATGACAGTCAAGTGAAAGTACAATCAAAGAGCAGCACAAAATGTATTCATGTCCCTTTAATAGTGCTGAAAGATGCTAACAGAGATAAAATCCATCAGAATGTAAGGAAGTAGAATGCAGAGACCTAATGCAGACCAATTTAACCACAGGTATTTAGGGGGCTAGATGGATAAAATAACAATAAGGAGTTAGATACACATAAAGATGCAGTAATGCTGCAAGATAAGTTTTAATTAGAAGTTTCACAAAAACACTTCTGTTCTCAAGGCCTATCTGCTACTTTCCATAACATGCATTATTCATGGTGTGTGTTTATTGAAATGGGTTGAAGGAGCCCAGTGAGAGGAACCAGTCATGAGAAGTATGACTGCAATGCTCTTTCTTTGCCGTGACGGATGACTTTTCCTAGTGCACTACCTCTTCAGCTTTCTGTATATTTAGTATTGCAGACTGGCTTACATCTCTGTTCAGCTACAATTCATTATGCTGAAATTCTTATTTAATGTTCCCTCCCTCCTGAAAAAATCAATATCCATGACCATTAGTCTCCAGGTTATTTTCATGAAGCATTTTAGAGTCCATTAGAATGCAAATGAAAAGAAGTGATCTCGGGCCTGATATTTTCCGAATTAAGGGACTTCTAAAAGTTGTTTATTTTGAACTTTTAGAAGCAGTAACATTTGAGGCAAACTCCAAGAGCCAGCAGCACTTTCATTGGGTATTTTGAGAGCTGTTTTCTTGTGGGTGATGGCGGAGGCAGCAATTGGGAGGTTGCTGGTGGTCTGCTGAGCCTTTTCCATGGCAAGCAGCCAGCTGGGGCGGAGGCTGCAGTGTGGGTGTGTGGGGAAGCTGCAAGGGGAGGAAGGTGTGAGGAACAAGTGGAGATGGTAGAAAATGTTCTAGAAGGCAGGAGAGGCAGGCAAGGAGGTGGGAAGCAAAGGCTGAGGGAGAGCCCTTGCATAGTTAATGGTCGTATAACAATATGGTTGAGATTCCATTTGGTTCATTGGCTTATAAATGATAGGAGGAAGATTATCTTGTGATTAAGATGAATGCAGCAATCATTGTTTTAACACCTCTTGGATACTAGGCACAGTGTAAGGCCCTTGTCAGATGTGAACACTGTTGTCACAGCATTTTGAAACAAGTCTCCTCATGCTATTGATTTCATGAATTTTGGGTACCCAAACTCCCCCCCGCCATTTTTACTCACCCCCCCAGCACACCTAAAAAATGTTTGAAATAAAGTACACAGATACACTTAGGATAGTTATCTGATTGTAGATTTAGCAACTGCCTGGAAGTTTCCTCGAACAAACAGCTAGAAAGAAGCAAAAGAAATAATACAGACTGGAATCCTGTGACCTGGGAAATTTGTGTTTCTATCTATAACCAAAATTTCCCCAAAGCCCTGAAATCACACCATGATTTTGTTTCTATCTGAAACAAAAAATTCTTTTATTTCATCCACAATTCTCGGGTAGGTGGGAGTGTTTGCTCAGCTCGCCATCTCAGGATCACAGTTGTAGAACTAAAACTCATTTCTGTTCTTTTCAGAAGCAGGAAGTGACTTTCTTGCCTGAGGCGTAGCCTCAATTGCCACCTGGATCGCTGAGACATTCTAAAATCTTTCTGGTGAAAGGAAATCTTAAGCTCTTACAGTGAAGGGCAGAGAGAGACACTCCTTTTGTCTGTGCAACATCAACTTTTCTTTCAAAGGCCATTTTTTTTTCTCTCTTGTGTTCTGTTGATTTTACCTTTCTTGGATGGAAACACTTGAATTCTTCCTTAAGAACCTCCCTTCAAAGGCAGAGCTTGAGTTCCTCACTTCTTCTGTGGTAAATCCCTGTCATCTCATTGACTCCATATGGATACCCTGTAAAGTACATGAGATTAGCTGGGTGTCATGGATAAGGAAACTGCAGTTCAGAGATATAATTTGGCCAGGGTGACACAGTAAATGAGTAATTAGCAGGAGTTTGAAGCCAGGTCACACAAATCCCAATTCCCAAATCTCAGGTTTCTCCACTACATTGTAGAACCTGGCTGAGCAGACAAGGATGGGGGAAGGCATATTAAGAAGAGGAAATTCATGTAATTGGGTGGAAGTGCCCAGAAAATCTGGGGAACTATCCTGGTTCAGAGTGTCCAAGATGCATTGGGGAGCAGTAAAGTAAATGAGCAAGTTGATCAGTCAGTCTTGGGATGAAGCCGGAGGTTTTTATATTAGTGACATGCATACATACGTAGATATCACAGTGATGCTCAGAACCATTGCTGGAGGGTGCAGTTGACTCACATGGTGTGGTTTCAGGGCTTTGGGAAAATATTACTGTTTCCTGCCCTCCAAAATCTCTCTTTTATAGGCCTCTTCCTGATGCAGAATTTCTAGCCTTAAAAATGAGCTCTTTTAGGTTTTTAATAAATTATACAATTTATTAAAGGGCATGTAGCTTTTTGGAACTAAAGATATTAAATTAGCACATTAAATATTCTCAAGTACTCACACCTTTTCCACTCATTCATTCATCCATCCACTCACTCATTCCTTCACAATGTATGTTTCACCCAATCATTCTGTTGGGTAGAAAACTATAAAAAGTGAGTCATAACGGTTCCTGACCTCAAGATTTGTTTCTAGTTGTAGAAGCACACTGAGAAATGAACTGAAATAAAAGCTTTGATAGATGATTGTGCAGGAACTGTGGCCATGAGAACTCACTCAATAAATAGTTGTTGAATTACAGAATGTTTTCTTGATGATACAAAAGCAAGCTCCTTTAAAGGATAAAAAAATTTACTAGGTGATGTGTGCAAGCCTAAGGTGGGAGGGCTCTAAGAAGGGAGAGCTGCATGTGCAGAAGCTCAGAAATGAGAGCAAGAACCACACTTCAGGAAGGAAACGTGAGGTGAGTGTGCACAGGCGAGTATTAGGCTGGGTTTGAGAAGCAGTAATGAAAGATGAAGACAGTTTAGCAAGAGAAAGAATGTCAGTGGCTCCTTTTTTTCTTTTAAAAAAAATGTTAAGGATTTTGATTTTATCCTGAATGCAATGGGGATTATTGATGGATTTTAAACTGGAGGATGATGTAATAAAGATTTGTGATTTAGAAGGAGGCAGTGCAGAAAATATTTGAGAGGTGGTTGAATCTGTAGGCAAAGAGATCTAAGCATGAGTTGATGAGGATCTCAGCAATGGACACATCCATGAATGTGAGGAAGGAGAATATGTACATGTATATAGAGGAAAGGGAATATATGTATATAGTGTGGTATGTGATTGGGTCAAACATATGTATATATTGTGATACATATACATCTCCACCCAATGTCAAGCATATATAAATATATACATATGTTTGATCCAATCATATACCATAATAAATCACATATATATTTTATATAATATGTATAATAGATATAAAATATATATATATGACATTGGGTGAAGATATAAAGGGTATGGTTGACTACTGGATTGCTGCCTTGCCGTGAATTAAGAAATACAGGAAGAATAACAAATTGTTCTTCTCTCACATCTTATTTCTGGGAGTAGGGACAAATAGAGAGCATTATTTCAATTTGGGTCTGAAGCACTAATGGGACATCCACAGTGGAGCTGAGCATAGGTGATTGACTGTTGGGGATACACTAAGGACTGAAGCCCACCCTGTGGGGCCACATGGGGATGACCTGGTATCTTTTCTCCCTTGTGAGCACACATACTTCTCTGTGACCCTGCATGATGTTGGTAAGTCAGGACAGAGCTCTGTGCTGGGAAATAGATATTTCAGTGTACAGTCCATAAATGAGGATAAGGTTGGGAAGAAGGCACAGCTGGAGAAGATGTCCATAGAGAGAGCTGAAGGAGGCAGTAGTGTGGGTGGGTCTCAAGAACTTGGAAAAAAGGAACATGAGCTGGCTTCAAATGTAAAATCCATCTTTTAACTCAAATACAAAAACCATCTCTTTGGAGATTTAAACTTCAAATGCAAAAACCATCTTTTAACTCAAACAGATGGCTCCCAGGCCTGAGGACAGTCTTTATTTCTAACCTGATTAAATTTCTTAATTTATCTAAAGAAATAATGTGTGCTCATCCAGTGGGGGATTTTTGAGTCACAAAGACAGAGGAAAGAGGGAGTCGGGTGAGTGCTTGTCAGTGCTCATGGGAGATAGGAGGGTCCCACTAAAGAACTTCACACATCCTCCATCCATTTGCAAGTCCACGTTCAGTTTGGGGCAGTATTCATGGGCTATCTCAGCCTTTGACTTGCCATTCATCTGATTGCATGTTCACGGGGAAAACTTCTGATGAGTGTTGGGATTTCCATAGTTATGTGCCTCCCTGGAGTGAATGTCCTATGGTATGGGTTTGGGTGTTCAGGTCCCTAAGAGCTGAAACCAAGATGTTGGCAGGACCATGTTCTCTCCAGAGGCAATATGGGAGGATCTATTTCTTGACTCTTCCAGCTTCTGGTGACTACAAGCATTCCTTGGCTTGTGGCTGCATCACTCTACACTCTTTCTGTAGACTCTGCCTGCATGATCACACTGCCTTTCTGTGTGTGTGTGTGTGTGTGTGTGTGTGTGTGTATGTTTCTGTGTGCAATACACCTACCTCATCCTTTAACTTATAGGGACTCTTGTGATGATGTTAAGGGCCCACCCAGATAATTCAGGACAATCTCCCCATCATAAGGTATTTAAATCAATCATATCTGTAAAAACACTGTTTTTCCCCAAATGAGGTAACATTTATAGGTTCCGAGGATAAGGACTCAATATATTTGGGATCACTATTTAGCCCAGTACATTAAATTTGTAAATTTGACCGCCAGCAAGGTATCCACTTGCAGTGGGATAACAAAATCAGGCTTCTAAATGAGAAATGCCTGCAGTGAATTCCCTAAGGATTGAAGACCACACTGTTGGGCCATGTGGGCAGCAACCTGATAGCTTCTCTATTTCATGAGCTCACACACCTCTCTGTGTCACTGCATGGCACCGTCCCATATTTTCTTCAATATACAATTTGTATTGGAGAACAAATGGTTGGTTAGAGCATAACAAGTAATTGAATGGAAATAGAATGCAACATATCAGCAAAATGTGGCTGAAGATAGGCTGCAAAGATAGCTTAGCGCCTGATCATGGAAGATGTGAGACCTTAGATCAAATACATTTTAGAACCCCCTTCCCCCCGCAAAAAAAAAATCAGGCCTTACTCAAAATTGTATTGGTTGTTCTGCCTTGATAAGAACTGTAATAATAGCTTACATTTACCAAGGAGTACTTGCTAGACATTGTTCTAAGCATTTATATGTCTTCATTTATCTGATCATCACAACTGTCCTTTAAATTAGATAATAATCTTACTTTGCATTGAGGGAAACAGGTAGAGAGGCTTGAAGTAACTTACCCAAGGTCACTTACCTTGGAAATGATAGATTTGTAATATGGACTGAAGGGATCTGGCCATAAAACTGATGCCCTTGACTTTAGTGCCACCATTTATATACTATGTACACTTATCTACTTTTTCCTTGCTTTCCTTCTAGATTACAGCTTTTCAAAGCCAAAAGTCATGTGTCCTCGGTGTCAGCAGCCGGAGCAGCACTGAATACGCAATGATGTACACTTTGTGCCATCTGCGTGGCTGACTGATGCTCTTTTTGGTTTTATTTGTCACAAGACTGCTATAAGAGAGTGACCTGAGTTTCACTAAAGAGAAATCTGGGGCTAATAAAAGAAAGCTTTACAAACGACAGAGCAGCTTTCCTACAGCAATTAACAGCCTTTATAATGTGTTTAGTCAGCTCTTGGTATATGGCTTCGGGATTGATAAAAAAAGGCATTTTAATGGAAGGCAGACCTTCATAGGCCTATTTTACACCTGACTTTCAAAACATGAGTGAATGTTGACAATCATAGCTCGAAATAAAGGGAAGAATTGATGGCTTCATTATAATGTTATCTATATTTAAATATTTAATACAATTTTCAAAAAAATTGTGGAAGCAAATTCTTCTAAGGCACTTCTGGGTAGGAGGATTTAGAGGAAACAAGGAAGAAAGAGATGTTAAAAATTGGATGAGTAGGCAATTTGGGTAAATAGAGTTATATTTCATTTCCCCGAACAGTACAATGGAACTGCAACCACAACAAAATGGTTCAGAAGTTTATAGAAATAATCTAGTGAGCATAAATAAACACACTGCCTATGTGATCTTTGTTCCACAGTTGAAGCTATAGAAAAATGTGAGAGAATATTTGGTGATTTTGGTCTTTTAAAACTCCCAAACACTCTGCTCAGGAAAATATTGTTTATTTTCATAGCTCCAGAGTTTGTCTATCTATTCATACAGAAATATCAGACATAATTTTGAAGTCAGTGGAAGGAATAATAGCACAATTTCAATCAAAGGAAAATAGGAACCCAGCGTTGGTAGATGCTCTGTTCTATTCCACGTGGTCAATCAAGGACAGTAGCAGAAGGCAGTAAGACTCCTGCCAGCTTCCCAGGCTCTGTGCTTTGAGAGGCCATCAGATGGTGGCAGTAAATACCAGAAGGACCTCTCTTCTGGGGGCTGTGGCCCATTTAAATCTAACTAGTGTACAGAGGTCAGGCCTGCAGAACCACAGCACATTTGACCAATTTCATCACCCTCCTGACATTACCTCCTGACATCATATGGGCAAAGGTTCTGGCTCCCTTCCTGCAGGAATCAGAGAAGAAAACTTGCTTTCTCTCTCTGTCTCTGTCTTTCACACACATACACACACACACACACACACACACACACACACACACACACACACACCCCCCACACTGAGCAGCTCTCAACCATAGCATAGTAGAGTCTCAGATCTATCTTCCCACTCACCCACCTTCCATAATCATAACAACACAGATGATTAGAGAGTCAATATCAAGGAAATTTATCTGTTTAGAAGCCCTTATTCAGCATTTCATGATCTACAAGATGGGAAACTGAGTGACAAAATTCCAGACATTGCCAGCCACTACAGACTTCCATGTGTCTTCTATTATATCTTAAGCCTATTTGTCCTCAGAATCCCGGTTTATATGTGTTTTGTAACATTGACAATGAAAAAAATGCCACCTTTTTTCCGGTATTTTGTCTTTCTAAACAGCTTTCAGTATAATAGACATACAATAAACTCCACATGTTAGAGGTGTACAATTTCAAATATTTTGGCAGATACATTGAGGCTAGCAAATCATCGCCATAATCAAGAAAATGAACATATCCCCCAAAATGCCTCATGCCCAACTCTCCTACCCACCCCCATCGAAAGGCATCAAGCGATCTACTTTCTGCCACTCTGAGTTATCTTTCATTTTCTAGAATTTGTATAAATAGAATTATGGACTGTGCATTTTTTGGGGGGGGTGGCGGGTCTGGCTTTTTTTGCTCAGACATTCTAGGAAGAACATAATATTATCTTATTGTGGTTTTCATTCAAATTTCCCTAATGGTTAAAGACATGGAGCCTCTGCTTTTTTTGTCGCTAGTATATTAATATATTCTTGAGTGAATTGTCTTTGCAAATCATTTGTCCATTTTGCAATTGTTGTCTATTATTACTGAGTTTTGAAAGTTCTCTTTATTTTCTGAATACAAGTCCTTTTACAAATGTTTGGTTACAAATATTTTCTCCCAGTATGTAGTTTATCTTTTCATTCTCTGAACAGAGTCTTGAAAAGAACAGAGGTTTTTAACTTTTATGAAGTTCAGTTTTTCAATTTTTTTATTTAAATAGTATGTTTTTGGTGTTGTCTCTAAGAAATCTTTGCCTAAGCCAAGGTAAAAAAAATTCTCTTATGTTTTCTTCTAAAAGTTTTATAATTTTAGATCTGGAGTCTGTGGCTCATTTGGTGTTGATTTTAGTATACATACAAGATATGGATTGAATTTATTGTTTCCTCTTTTCTCCTTAACTTTAAGCCTAGTCATTTACTAGCCTCAATTTACAAGGGAAAGCAACATACTTCTTGCACCTCTCTCTAATGTTAGAAGCTCATGTGAAGACTCTGATACCTGTTTTCTGTTGATTGGAATAATCTTAATTGGATCTTGACCAATGCTGGGTTTATATTCTCAGAAATTAGGACATATAGATTAGCCAAGCCTATATTTCAAAAGATATTACATTAAATAGTGAACAAATCTGCCTGTGGGCATTTACTAATTGGGATAAATGTTGAAAGCGAGTTGAGAGTAGTAGCACAAGCAAAGTGTCATATCTGGTTAAGCCTCCCCAAAGGTACCCTGTTGGGTGCATCACATTCATAGACTGAGTCTCCCACACCACCTATCTATACAGATGTCCTCCTTCTGGCTAGACTTCATGCATCTCCCTGCCCCTGCCCAGCCCCTGATTCTGATGGTCAGTTGTCTACTCCAACTCCATCATTTCAGTTTCTAGACAGCAGGATTACCACTTAGGCCAATGGACCAGTGGATGGGTCACTACTGCTGACCCTCTCATTTGGCAAGCCCTGCACCTCTGCTCCGGTGGGCATCTCAGGCAGCTGCTGTTGGATGCAGCTCAGGTTCAATGTCGTAATAAAACTTACATTTAGCCAAAGGTTACTGAAAAATCAGAATATGAGAAGACAGGAGAATTAGTATGCAGGTGGCTAAACACCATCTTCCAGGACTTCAAAATAGGAACACAACAACCTCTCCAAATAATATGTTTGTTTGCACGTATATGTGTGCCTGTGTGCATGCGTGCATGTGTGGTAAGAGAGAGAGGGAGAGAGGGAGACAGAGTTTCTACAAAATATCGGGATTCAAGCCAATGCTAAGATACTAAAAAGTCCATAAAACACATAAAGTTTGAATTCCTGGCAGACTTATTATCAATGAAGATCCATAAACTTTGGGGGCCTCTTTTACCTCCGTATATGCTAAGCACTGCCTCTCCTTTCTTTGCACACTTTCCCTGGACTGACACTGCACATCTGTTCGTTTCCTCAGTAGGGAATTGCAGTCTCCCAGCTTCCCCTCAGGGAAGAGAAACAGCCTTGATATTATCACTGGCCGTTAGGAATCAACAAGGGAATTTCTGTGGCCATTTAACAGATAGCTGGAGCCAACTTCCAGTTTAAATTCCAGTAAGGGGATCAGGCACCCTCTTGAGGAAGTGTTAAAACTAATTTCCGGTATTTTATGTTTTCAAATTGGCAATCATCAAAACTTTATGACTTGGCCCACGGGAATCGGCAAGGGCTGGCCTGTTGTGCATAAATGCTATGAACCCAGCCTTCTTTCTGCAATTATTATTGCTACACAAGCAATGATCAGAAATTAGGAGTGAGGTTGGTTGTGGAGGTAAGAGAAATATTGGCCACATGTGTTATGTGTATGTGCTGATAACAGAGGCACAAGGAAAAAGGAAAACCACCATCCCAAAATACCCAACCAGCATCCTGAAATACTTAAAGATGCTTTCTTTTGTATTAGGCATGTTTCTCTATTAAAGCACAAGTGCCCCCTGTAGCACAATACGTTTAGTATAAAAGTATTTATTAGATCTTTTCCTCAGGGACAAATGATGGAGAGAAGTGCCCTCAGTTTGTAGGTCAAGTTATAAGAATGGTTTACATTTTTGGCACATGTTGGCAATTATAAAACTTTTTGCATACATTACCTCATTTGCTCCTCAGCACAATTATTTACGGCAAGTAGGCAGGAATTGTTATTTCTATTTTACAGATGAGTGGTTCACAGATGTTAAGTGATTTAGCCCAAGTCATAGTAAATAAAGGACACAGACAAGATTCAAATATAGGTCCTCTTGGCCTCAGAGCCTTTGTTTTCTCTATTTATTTAGTTTAGCTGAAAATTTGTGTTGGGTGGAGCAAGAAAGAAGTCTAGAGCAAATATAAGTGTATGAGGATCCTGTAGAGGCCAGGGAAAGGTGATGGGCAACAGTGTTTCAGGTCACCAGGACCCTATTAGAAGGCACTGTGGCTAAAATAAAAACCAGGGGACCCAGACTCTTGGGACATCATGAGAATACCTCCAGCCTTTTGGCCATACATCACTGACAAGAAGGGTTCGGGTTTTATTTTTGTTTTGGCTGACATGTGCAAGGTGACCATTCTCCAAAGGCAGTCCTGCTGTGAGTTGTTTAATACTGCAAATATAATACCTGGTGACAGGGACTCCCAGGACGATTTTCTAATTTGACTTTGAGAGAGCTGCTTTGTTGGCAGTTTTGCAATATCTTATATAAATAAAAACATGTAATTTACTTGAGTTTTCATCTAGAAATCCTTCTGGTTATACAGAATACTCACCGGATGTAGAATATCTCCTTACCCTATATCCCATCTCCTCTCTCAAAAACTAACCTAATTTATTGTCTACAAACTGGATATTGAAGAAAATACTAACACTTTCATATGGCACATATTGCGTATGGAAAGCAGTAGAAAAGAACTGGAGCCTGAAAATTCAGGTGAGCAGGAAGCACTGCATTTGTTTATTTTCTGTAAAGTCTCTCTGTTCCTCTTACTGGTAGAAAGTTCAAAACTTTCATTCTTGGCTTCCTTACCCCGTGGGATGGAAAGCCTAGGGTGCCTAGGTTGTATCTGTCCAAAGCACTAGAGAAGCCCCTCCGGGCAGAGGCATCAATCTACCTTGGGACATCCTCTGTCCTGGGCTACATGGACATTTCGTCTCCAGATGCTGTGTTTTCGGTACCATCTGTGGACTTCCAGAATCCCTGGCAAGGTTGGCCCCAGAAAGTGGAACACAGTATTATGGCTTTTGGGTTTTGTGACTTCCCTAGAGGGGAAGCTTCCAAACAATAGGAAACCCTTCTGTCTGAGAACCTCACAGAGGTCTCTCTCTTTCCCAGGCTGAAAGAAT